CCTGCCCCCTCTCCGCGGCCTGCTCAGGCCTCCCCTCGCCCCTGCGGCATTTCCAGGGGTCTCGGGGGGGGTACCCGCAGCTTCTGATTTGGAGGGACGGGGTGACCGATGCCCGCACGTCTCCAAGAGCTGCCCTCACTTTCTCCCACTCCATTTCTGACGGGAAATTAACCGAGACCCCGCCCGTCTCACTCACTTCCGGTGCCTCCGAGGCGTCTCCTCGACCTGGGGTTGACCCCTCCTGTCCTTCAGATCCCACTCTGCCCCGCCAGGCACCCCGTGTCTGCGTTCCCGCCCACACCCCGTGCACGTCGGCCCCCGAGGGTGCCAGGCCCCGGGAGTGCAAGGCCTGCATCGCAGCCTCATGCCGGAGGGCGACGGACGCGCAGTCCCCAGGCCGGCTTCCCGGGGCCCCGGCTCCAGTGTGGGGGAGAAGCAGGGAGACTCGGGGACTGTGCGGGGAGCTTCGGGAATTCAGCCGCCCGGGCAGGGCTTGGCGTGCAGGTGCATCCATGTCCTCAGCAAGGAGTGGGGGCTGGGACGGTCACGGGCTCGCAGAGGACCCGTGCAAGGTGCGGGACCTAGGCCGAGGATGGTGACGAGAGAGGCACAGCGGGAGGGGCAGCCAGGAGGGGACCGAGGGGCAGGGACGTCGGGAAGGCCAGATGCAGCCCGGTGGCCGGGAAGCAGCTCTGGTGGGCTGCCAGGGCAGAGGCCACCTGTGGGAGCAGAGGGCGTGGGTGGGCAGCATCCAGAGGACAGGCAGGGAGGGTCCTGCGGTGCAGCCGGGGTGTGGGGACCCCCACGGGTAGCGGCGTGAGTGTCGGGGAACGAGAGACGTGGGTGCCGGGCCGAGGCACGGAGTCGGCCCACGAGCTTCTCCCGTCCTCGGGCCCTGCAGTGTCCCCCTCGGGCCGTCCCGTGTTCCGGGGGCCTGAGACACACACATGCAGTGACAAAGTTGGCTGGTCACACAGCCTTCTCTAGGAGGTGCAGGGCTCCGTGGAGGAATT